CAGCCACAGTAGATGGCAGTGATCTCTTCCTGTTTAAAGGGAATTCTTCCTTTCCACTATTGCCACCTACTTGCTCATAAGGCAATCATCTGTTTATCTCAGATATTGCAGGGCCTTCACCTTGCAACATAAAGCACAGTGAAGGAACTGTTATTGCCTCGAGGTGAAGTATAAAAGGTAAAGTGTGAAGTATATAAATACAACTGAGTTGAACTGAATGCTTAGAGTTTGTCCTTCTGGTCATGCCTGTTGCATGAGACAAACATCACAATTATTGCTGCTCCTTAGAAGAAAGGGAAAAAAAAGAGAGAAATGCTAAGAAAGTCAACCCATTCAGTGAACCTCTCACCATTTTGCAAGCTGAGCTGATGCCTTGAAGCATGCAGCTGTAGCAACCAGTCCCAGAACAAAATCAGGAGACGCTCAGAGCAAACAAGTGTCATCTCATGGGACTCATGCTCACCAGGAGGAAAACGGCAGTCAAGCTTTCTCCTGGAGGCAGTGTGTCTGAGCAGGATCATGCCCAAACTCTTCTCTTGCCTTACACTGGCATCAGATAATCTGTTTAAGTGTATTTTTGCCTCTTCTATCATTTCTTTATTAAACACTCACTGTGCTAACTGTTAGGTGAAACCGGTGACTTTAGTTCTGTAAAATCCACAGTAGTTCAATTCTTCCTAATGCAGCTATATGCAAAAATCCAATTCATGAACACCTTGCGTGTGAGTCGCACAGTTGCTCAAACCAGACGTTTAACATGTGATATGTTCTCATCAACTTGCAATGCAAGTGCAATAAACTTCTCACAAGCAGCCATAAATGATTAGTTTAGGTCACAGCCACGATGTTTCAGAATATGTCTGCGACTGTAAAGTGAACAAGAGAGAGCAAAGCTTTGTGAAGAGACGCATAAGCAAAGAGGAAGGAAGCTAGACAGAGAGGCTTATGTAAGAAACAATTCAAGGATACTTCTTTTTAGCTGGTGACATTGTTTTGATTGCTGCGGTTCTAACATGAATATCGGCAAACACCTTCCGCCACTTAGCGATCTGTAAAGCATTAATTTAGCATCATTCAGGCATCCTTTTTTTCTTTTTAGAGTAATAACATATTACAGGACACATAGTGGCTTCTGTAAATAGAGTGCAGGAAATGTATAATTATATGTTTGGATTTGCCGCTTGAGTGAAGATGTAACACGCCAAGATCCTGAAAGCAGCTGAAGCCGTACATCATCGTGGAAGTCAGCATAAGACTCCAGCAGCAATAAAATGTGCCGTTCATCTTTTATGTTAACCTCGAAGCAGATGTGTGTTATGGGAAGATCTCCTCTGGCGCTGTGCTTTGCGGGGAAAAAGCATAATTTGTTTCTCTTTTGATATCTTATTCTACTTGAATGGTGCTATAGGAGCAGGGAGCAAGAAGCAGGAAAAGGGATAAAGGAGGGAACTATTCTCCGTCAAACCCACAGGGTCCCTCCATTGCTCTGCTGATGGTCTGTAATCGGTGTTTGGCACTGATGTGAAGTGGCTGGAGCTGCAGGGTCACCCTTTTGATACTTTTCAACATGACTCTGGTTTGTGTGCCCCATAATGGCCTGTTCACTTTTCTCTTAAAGAATAGTCAATGTAAAAAAAAAACACTGACAGTTTGGCCATTGGGCTTTCACCCAGCAGGGAACGCTGACTTTAAAAATCTTTACTAGCTAACCTTTTTACATACTAACAAGAGTACTGTGGCGAGATTTTGGGATAAACATTATTTTTCTTTATTGATCGGCTCCATCCACTGAAAAAGGCAGAATAGAAAAACACGTTTAAATGCGCCATCTTCTAAATGTCACTGATTTCTTTAACCCGGAGCTCAAGCTCTGATAACAGTAGTGTTTATGGTGTCGTTGTGCCATGTTAGGTTGGCCATCATGTTCAGCCTGCAGCTGATCTAAGACACACTCATAATTATGCAGCACTCTCAAGGTCTGAGTCATGAAGCTGAGCCAGGGCAGCTGTTTGCAGTGAGAGGTGTCCCATAGAGGGCACTGTTGGTTCTCATGAACGACCTGTGGCACAACAGGTTGCAGTGCTCCACTCTCTCTTCGCCAAGTGTACATTCGCTGTCCAGCCAACTTGACAGGCACGAGCGGAGAAATGGAAAATGATGCGGTCTGTTTTGCCATAATTAACCCGCTGAACCTGATTTTTTATTTTTAATAAAATGCTTTAAACGTAAACGCGTGCCTCAAGATTTCTTTTCCTGCAAGGCAGTGCACATGACATTGAGCTTTTCATGTAAAAATCGGTTTATTCCAAACAGTGTTAAATAATTCCTATCTCCATTCCCCACTGGGACAACTGTAATTAGTGTCTATTCCGCCGTGAGTCACGTGTATATGTTCATTTTCGACCCGGAATCAACAGCGTAATTACTCTGCATCGTGAGGTGCCAAGCTCCTTTCTAATGTGCCAACTTTATTTATTATGATTACTATTATCTTTATTTCCAACGATGTGGGACAGAAAGCGCAGTCGTCTCGTGATCTGAGCTTTAGGAAACTGATGGGACTATACTTGCTGACGTGACTCCCGCAAACCCTCTAATTTGCCAATTCAGCCAGGAGTGCGCGTCCCATTCCACCTCCCTCCACCTCCACCCCCTCAGTTTCTGCACCACTCTCCGGTCCACAACTACAGGCTACAGAGCGGCAACAGGATCCGCTTCACCACCGCCTTTCTCCCGCGCTCGCTGTCATCTGTGCACGCGTCTTTGCCGTGTGCAAAGTTGCAGGACTATTTGTGAGATAATACAAGTCCTGTACGACACTTAGCCCTCCGCGTGAACTACAAAGGCGATCTGGACCGTTGTAAATCCACCACTATGTGAAATACAACAAGAAGAAAACAGAATGTCTTACAAAGTGTTTGGAATTTTTTTTCGAGGATTGTTTTTTTTGCTGACCTCGTTGATTTAGGGAAAACATTTATATATATACAAATTGCAGCCTGATAAGGAAAAGCCGCTCGAATTTCAAACCACATTGCCAACATTGGATGAGACCGCGGCGCCCGGATCTTGTGCAATAAGGGAAATGGTAAGAAGCCACAGAGAAACACCGCATCACTTTCACACACTTGTTCTTATTTCCTTTGAATGACGTTTGCGTTGCTTTATTCGCTGCCTCCCACTCGACAGTTGTTGAAAGAAACGTGTTTATTTTCTAGAAAGATAGTGAGACTCTAAGCTGTTAAAATTATGGCACAAATTCAGCAGAGGTCTGCCAAATATTGAGCATCCTTTGGGTGCTGGGTGCGATTTGTGACAGACGGTTTGTTTTCACACGTCCCAAAGCACCTGTTTTGTCCTGTGGGTGAAAAAAAAAAACCCTTAAGCTGAAAGAAAAAATCAGTTGATTAATATAAATTATCCATTTTGGGAGTGAAAACGAAAAATTTGGACTTTACTTCCCTGCTGTTTGCCCTCTACATGCTCTGTGTTTCACTGGGGTGACGCTCTGTGTTCATGTCTGTGATGGCAGGTGGTTTCGGACGGAATACAACAGTTTTGCTTTAAATGGAGAACTGCTCAGAGGGGATAAATTGTGTGCAAAGTTGTGCTGCTTTCTGCTGAGGGAGCTATCCATCCGGCTTCCACCGAATTACCACGAGTCCGAGGAGAGACATGGGGCCGCTCCGGTGGATGGGACTCACCGCGCTTCTCCTGTGCACAGGTTCGACCCCGATGAGAAACCACAGTGAGCACTTGTGTTCATACATCTGAACAAGATTTATGGAAATGAAAGTTAATGGTCATGAAATAAGAAACACTATAAATACATCAACCTTTGCTGAGTGATTTCATTCACCTAATGAAATGCAAATGATGTCCTTTCAGCCAGCAGGACATATATAATTTATGAGACATATAATTAGCTGTAAGCTGTTGTGGCAGAATACAAAATGACGTGTAATATTAACATGAATGAACAATGACAGTTGCCTAGAGAGTGTGTGGGTTTGGTTGTTGGAGCAGGATGCAGTGTGTGAGCGTGGCACTGCAGAGCACCAGGAATAACAACAGGCTGCAGACACAACCCAGCAAAGCAGAAGAGATGCATCTTTTCATTAAGTTTGAGCTGATCTGCTCTTGGAAAAAAATAATATATGAGGGTGAATGTGTACTTGTGAGCGACTGCCATTGTGTTCAGGATGCCTAAGTGTATGCATTTTACTGTGAGATGAAGCTTTGTGTGACTTTAAAAATTGCACAGGCTTATGGAGAAATTCGATTTAAAATGCCAATCCAGGGAAAATCAGTTTAATCCAGAGTGTTTAAATGCTATTTGAAGCTCTATGTTGAACATCCTCTCTTACTTTGCTATAGGTAGAAATCATCTCTAGCCTCAAATACAAAACACTTACTCTGTATTTATGTGTAAATTTATGTGCAGATTTTTGGACGCAGACAGGATTCATTAACACACAAACTTGAAAATAATACACTAGTAATTTAACCTCATTATCCAAAGCATTCATTTGCATAAATACACAATGTATCCAAAGACTATATTCAGGTAAATTAGGTTACATTTAACTTTTAATAATATGTAATGCTTAAAGACTCACTTTAAGTTGTTGGACATGCTTTTTTGCTGAACCTACCAGAGCTGTGCGTTTTGTGATGCTGGTTAAACTGTGAATTTGCTTTTCTCTGTGATCATGTAACGGCTTTCCTCATTTGCTCTAATGGACTCCTTTCTAGTGATGATGCCATCTGTGAATTCCTGATTAGAAAAAAAAAGTTTTTCGTTTTACTGAAAATTGTTTTGGGGGGAAAAAAACATTTCTTGAGGGAAGTGATTCTCCTCACAAGCTGAAAGCCGCTCCGAAATATGAAGGTATCCAAAGATTGATCCATTTCTCATCAGTTTGGTCAGCCTCTTCAGGTGAAAGTGGAAAGGAAGAAGAAAAAACTGATCCTGTCCTGTCAGTCAACCTCCTGCTGTTCACAGTCTCTGAGGATATTATGTCTCCAGCCACCTGATTGCTTTCACCCAGAGGTTGTCTCTGCGAGACGAGCACACTGACAGGCACATACTGTAGAGCATACCTACACACACTCACATACTGTCAGAGTAGCCATCAGGACATTTGGAAATATCTACAGCCTGGCATGCAGTAGGATGTGGTGCTGGCACTTTTTGCAGATTGGAGCTCTTTGACAAACAGAAAAAAGTATCGGGGTGAAAAATTACCTTTACAGGGATGTTTTTTTTCCTTCAATTTGTCATATGGCACTACCATTTAAATTGCCTTATTTGCACAATGTACAGTTTTTATTATCACTTACTCATCATAGCACTAAAAAGATACCTAAGTGCCTGGCATAAAGGGCACTATACTAAACGTGGGAGGATTCTCACTTGAAGTTTGCCTGCTCTTTGTATGTGTGTGGGCCTGGCCAGAGTCGAC